CCTCGAGGAGAATAATTCGTTCTCGTTGCGATAGAAAGTTAATTCACGACTCGAGAAATTAGGATGCAAGCGGAACTTGGAAAACACCGCGGCAAGTTACCCGCGACGTCAGAATTTGCCCGATTCAATTAGTAATTGGAGTTCGCAATTCCTATATTCCTACACGAATCGATTTTGACTATCGTGTGCAGCTCGCGATATGTATTACAGTAAATGTTGCAACAAGGCGGGAACTTTCGGATATCATGGCGCGCCGGTAGAAAGCGAGCTCAACGCCATTATCTTACATTATTAAATATATCAGAAGATAAAAATATCGAAGAGAAGGAGGAGAGAAACGAAGAGTAGTAAAAAGTATATAATATTTTCCTCCGATATTTCTCTCTCTATGAGTTTCGGAACGTATTTGGTATCCAATAGGAGAATTCATCTTTCGAGAATTGCCGAACGAGACGAATTCTCCTATCGAATACGGGTGAGACTCTTTGGAAAAAAAGATATTGCGACTTTTCCGCCTGACTGTGTGCACACGCGCATTTTACTCTAATAAAACTCAGCGTGAGCGGAAAATGGAGCATTTATTTTCTCGCGGCGGCAAATGTGACGAAATGCGAACGCGCACATCGCGATACCGATTGCACGGTCGGCACCGATATGAAATCGCGCGGTCTCTGTTCATTCCGAGTTTATCGCGAGCGCTCATGGTGTGCGCGCGCACGGTCAATGCAAGCTCGCATTTTCCACGGCATCTATCTTCGTCACGCGTGTCCGCGGCTCGATTAGAGCGGCTTTTCGATTGTAACACGTCGTCGCGAGCGAACGGTCGAGCGTTGCACGCGAGGCGGGTTCACCTTGAAGAAGAAGGGGGGCCACCCGACGCGACCCTGTCTCCGTTAGTTTCTGTCTGCTTCAAGGTCGTAGACGCGATCGCATTATTCTCTGTCGTTTTTCGTGCTTCCCGGTCCTCGAGGTGGTTTATGCCGTCGACTAAGCCGCGTTGCGTGCCGTGCACGAGCTTGCAACCCTGAACCGCCGCCACCCCCGACAGCTCTCTACCCCGTTGTCTTTAAACATACGTGACAACTGAATGCGGAAAGTTTCAAGGTCGGAGGCGCAATGAAATCTAAGAGCGCGACGCAAGATAATTTGCAAATACCGTAACGAACTTTGACAGGTAATTTCCTGAAGTTGAACCAAAAAGAGAAAAAGGAAACGGGAGGAATTTCTATCTGTTGCACTCTCAGCGCGATAGGCGTATTTCCGCGATTGTGAGAACGTGTAACGTTATTCGAGCGTATCGACGGCACGCCGATAACACGTCGACGGTATTCCAGGCAGATTATACCGGGCGTTTTTAACGTCCTTCATGAAAATGCATGGCGGCACTGCGATGAGTTTCGAGTAAATTCGATTTATACATACTGAGTCGTGCTTTGATTACTTGTATTATTCATCAAAGACGCGGGAAGGAGCGAGCCAAGCGGAGCCCACTTATTGATTCATAGCAAGGCGCGGTAAATCCAGTTTCGGTTGTTTATGATATTTCTTCACCGATAGTTGTGCCTTGAGGTAGAAATTACGTGTCTCCGAGTACGAGGTAACGGCGACGGCGGCTTAAAGAGAGACTCAGGTGTCTTTTATTGAAAATCCCGGCGAAAACATATTTTTCCGTCCTTTTTACGACCGTACACGCTGAACTTTCGAAAGGCCTAACGGTGCGGAAAACTTCTCGCGTTATCATCCGGAGACAAATGGAGGATAAAATTAAATTCCCGTCGAGCCGCAACACATATTATGAGATTACGGTATGTTCCCGGTATCGCGTAATTAATGTCTGTCGATACCTAGATATTACTCCGTATTTTTTCCGGCCCGAAAATAGACGACGACGACAACCGATTCATTGTAATTCTTCTCCCGCGAACGAATGCGACGATTATATAGACCGTGAGACTCTTGATTTAATATTTCCCCCCGTCCGAGTTTATTATTTCCTAATACATCGCGAAGGTTTTTAATCGGAGAGTCAGAACCGAGCAGCGGAAACTGTTAGCGAGCGGCAACAAAAAGTGAAAGATACAAAACGAAATATACAACGAGTAAGTGAGAGAAAACCGCGCGTGTTAAAAGAGCAATTCGACGAGATAGTACCGCTGGGACGGTCGGATCGCCCGGCAAGATTCGTTCGGAATTGTTGCGGCAGTACAATTGCCACGGCCGAAATTGTTCCTGGGGAGGAATATCGATCGGATCGGCCGCTCCCACAGAGAGCACGGAAATAAGTTCGGGGTAGAATGCGGCGTCATGCTCCGGGAATAAAGAGGGTACGTAGATTTGTTCTCGGCGTTTGGCGTCGTAACGAGCGCCTCGACGCTCGTAAATCGGCAGCGACGGGCCGATCGATGGAAATTTCTTTATCCGAAGCGGAGAACTCGTGTGCGCGCGTAACGAAGCGTAATCGGCTACGGGGCGGAAGTATCGATCACACGGCCCGAGGAAGACGATCGTTGTTTACCGGATTCTTGCGTAGCCCTCGGTCGCGGGTTTCCGGGACACCCGGTTGTTTACTCGAGCGTGTTGCGAGCACGCTCGCGATCGTATGGATGTCGCAGCGCGCCTGCCAGTGAGATCAGGTGAACCCGAATCGGGAAATGCCAGCCGGTGACGCGATATCAATATCGATCCTTCGACGGGATATTTTCCCGGGACAGGCGCGGGATATACGTGTCCCTTTTCCGAAACGAAGCTATCATAAAACAAAACGTGACTCCGAAATGAAATGTCAGCCGTTTCGCGGAATGCGCGAGATATTAACCCTTTTAGTGCCGGGCGAAAAAGAGGTGCTTATGCGAAGATAACCGGCCGATTTTACTAGGATTTGGTAAAAGGCTCATAAAAACCAAACGAAAAGCAATATTTAAAAATTATTTATTTTAATTCTCTCGTAATGAAATTAGACTATTTATAACGTATTTTAAATTTATTTTGATAGAGATCTCTCGCAATGCGAATAGTAAAGCGCTACAAGGTGCGGGCCGATATATCGGCTCTGGCACTAAAAGGGTTAAGCATCTCGGACGAGATAATATGGAAAACTTTGAGTATAAGTCGCGACCGCACTCGAGCCAACGGCCGCAAATTTATAGACGCGGCGAATTTTTGCAAAGGGCGCCTCTTCGCGGTATTGCCCCGTCGTATTTCATATACGTACCGTAATTCAGTTGACCACGCCACCGAATTTTGTAAACGCCGACCCACTTTGATTTATCGTTACTTATTAAACACGCTCTTGACTGGTTATATTCACCCAGGAGGAAGATGTACATACCGCTGGTGAATTATTGTTCGTGCATTTTTTGCCGCGAGCAGCCCTAACTCATTTTTCGATAGTATCTCGATAGAGTCGAAATAGATTTGCGAGGGATATTTGGAGAGAAGAAAAAAGCGCGTCGGGATATTAACGTTATAACGTCAATGACGAATTGCATCCTCGGCGCGAGAAGAAGCTGAGCCACAGGGCGGATGAAAGCACAATAAATAAGAAATTGGCCCCCCCCCCCCGAGTTTATAATATCTATGAATCACGTTGAGCAGGTTCGGTGCAGCCGACGGTTCGTTGGTTGTTTGTCGATCTTTCCGTCAGTCTGACGTTTACCCCAATGGACATGTTTACTCAAGCGCGGTTTCGACAAAGTCCAGTCGTAATCAAAAGTCCATCATGTCTCGAAGATGTTACTCAGAATTAGGACAATAGACCCTAGCGCAACGCGCTCGAATTGAGTTTCTTTTCGGATAGACTAAATAAATCGACCCTAAGTTGTTCAAAGACGTTCCCAGTCGCTCCTATCGTGGATAGGAAGCGAAAGCACGAGAAGTTTGAGACATCCAGTATGCAGGGCAATTTGTCAATCGAATTCGTTTAAGAAAACAAACGTTGAGAATGACGGAAGAGAATTCGAGGAAAGTTGAAGGGGCAGACACTTAACGGCTACGTCATTCGCTAATCTGGCGTCTGATTTGAAAAAGAAAGAATTTGAACATTGTTTGCGTTTCATTTCTATATGTTTCCTTACGTTTGCACCTCAAAGAATCAAAAATACCAAAAAGTTAAAAAGCAGTCAACGAAGAAATGGAAGATACTTAAATTTTCTTAATTCCAAGAGAAAAGCATTGTTTTTACCTCCTTTGCTTTTATTTGAAATGGTTCGAAAGCGAGTTTGTCCAAGCGTTAACTTTGTAATTATTTATGTATTTCAAAATAGTCCACGGTACAAATGTATACAAATTCTGAGAATTTCTTTCGCTCAAGTCGTCTAGTTCGCGTTGATCTATATCTCTCATTGCGACTTATAAAGCCGTATTTAAAGTTTCTAAGTAATTGGCACCGAGAATGTAGGTTAGTTCGCACTGTCTTCCTGGCTACTTTGTGCGGTAATCGATCGGGTAACGAGCTACCCAAAAGGCCATCCGTTAGCCCGCTGATTGCTCGACTCATCGTCGCGATATCGCCGACGCATCACGATGCAATGCAATATCATTAGTGAGGTGAGAGAGCCGCGCGCTTCGTTACTCTGATTGCCGTGCGATGCTACTTAATTAGATTCTGTACTCCCCAAAGATACACCCTATAACAGGTTATTACCGATCAAGAAATTCCCAATGTAATCGAGCATTTGAGCGTCTTAATTCAAAGGAAAATTCATAAAAAGTTTCATTGTTAAATTTCTACAAAGAGAAATTTATAAACAATATACAGAAGTTAAGAATTATGAAACACATTACACACATAAAATCTTACTTTCAACCGATTATAACGTCTAATATTAAAGCCCATCGTTTTATTTCACTGATATTGAGAATCCGTGTCGTTTTCGATTCACGGCAAAAGGCCTAGAGAGAAGATTTTATTATGTCGTTGTATTAAAAGCGAGTTGAATTAAAGTGGAAGCCGCCAAGATTCGCGCTTGGCGCCGCTCAGAATCGCCAAACAAGTGACTCACCAGTTTTCAGAGGCGTCCTCGTCGAGGATGGTCCCGTCAGCAAGTCGATGAGGTAAATTAGCCGCCGTGCGCGGTCGGTTCCTGACCCTCGGTGGACCAACGACACCGGTTCTCGACAGACCAGCCCGGAAGGACGCCCTTGCCCTGTCGACTGCTCGAGTCAACGTCATTGAATCTCATTAGTACTGTTAGTAGTTAGTGTTAGCGGTGGTGAGAGGCGAGAAGCGCGGCACTTTGCATAACGTCGTCGTCGCCGTTCTCACAAGAAGCGGCGATTACGACAACGTCTCGCGGCCGATATACGCGTACGGTCGTGTGTATAGTGTGTGTAATTTTTATTATCTACAAACCCCCGACGCGTGGCGCTAATACACGCAAAACATGCAGGGTAAATATGCAGGACGTAAATGTGCGGAGCGCAAATGTAATGCCTGACACGGTCAGTCTCACGGAGCGACATGTGCATGTGGCTAAGCCCAATTAAGCAATCCGGTTAAACTCTCTTTAAAGCTGATAATCATCTCGCGCGATAACGTATGTTACTTGATGTGATTCCTTACGAACTTAGTGCCGTGAGAGTATTGTTTTTCTTTCTCGTTTTTTTCAACGCGACGGACACCAACGCCTTTGTTCGCAGGATCCGCATTATTTTTCTCACTTACGAACAATTAAATCGCCCGAAGGTTGTAATAATTTATATTGACGTTATGCATTTGATGTTTAATGTTGACGATAATTGATACTTAATACCTCGAATTCTGTCGAAACGTTAAAATAATTCGAGCGATATATACGCGCTGCAGGAAGGTAATGATCGGTTTAACCTCGTCAAGCCATTTCGTCACATTCGTCTCATCGAAGGTGTCACGTCACGTTGGAAAATCCATTTGCAACGCTACACGACAAGAATACTTTACAAAGATAAGTCAGTCAACGTCGTACTTTTAATTTGTCGTGTGACGTATGGTCGGCGCGTCTGGCACACAGATGACAGCAGAATGTGCAATCTGCGCTTCTGTTCTATGTTGCTTGATTTCGCGCCAACCGTGGCCGTTGAACTTTCTGCTCAAATATTATGTCTCTCGGGACTCTCTTTGAACCTAGCCGTTCGATACAGCATCATCGACAAAATTCATCGACCTTAGGAGCGAAAAACGACGCGCATGATATAATACATGCGTATGGATCGCGTCGGCGAGCAGAAAGCGACGCGCGAAATATAAGAGAGACACCATTCTTGTGTCGTTCTCTCGCGCGGATTCGAAGCTTCTTCGAGGCCAAGTTGACATATTCAATTTGCCGGGTGAACAGCATGCCGTCAAGATTCATCATCATTCATCAATCGACAATCGACGTGCTCGCGACGCGCTTGCGACTGCATCAAAGCGCGCTACAAAAATGCGATTACCGAAGAAAGGGCGCGTATGCGAACTTTTTGTTCGTCATGTTCAATTTCAGTATGTAAATGCGTGCAGGCGATAGGGGAAGCGGAAAAGGTTTAAAACGCGAAGCTCAACAAAGGGATTCTAATTAAAAAATATTCCCGCTCAGATGGAAGCATACTTGGGGAGAAAGAAAAAAAGAGATTACAACCGTTATCGTTCATGGTGGACGCGCGTCGAAGAGAAAGAGCGATGAAGAGGAGATGGGCAAAGAGTGCTGGTGATTGGATACGGTGGCTGTAATCTTCCCGAGTGCACGCTGATATCGATTGTTATTAAACGAGAAAACCTCGCTCGCCGCAGTTCGTCTACCGGAATAATATGTTGTTAGGATGCGAATGAATAGGGTCGTCCTATGGTATTCCCTTATGTAACATCGATCTAACTTATTAACCACGTCGACTTCATACTGATTCAAAAATAAGGAGAGAGAAAGAGAGGAAGGAAGAGAGAGAGAGAGAGAGAGAAGACAGCTCGTAAGAAGAAAATAGATGAAGACAAATATGGAAGCTGGGGATTATGAAATATAGGACGAATCAAAGTAAATAACTTGAAATACAATTTTCAGCAAGGCAATTCTAGACGACGTTTGCAATTAAAAATTTTATGAAATTATCGTCTAAAGTCCCGAGATTTCGCGAATTACGGTACAGCAAGATGTCGAATGTTTCGAGACATATAATCTATTGGATAAATATTTAATGATTATTAATTGCGCTAATTACGAAATCGGGCAATAGCTTTATTTGGATGATGGATTACACTATATATCCGCTTATTAAGTTACACTTTGATGAACCCAAAGACGAACAGCCCAAGCTTCAACGAACAATTTCAAACTCTGTACAAACTATCGATTACGGATTATATCGGCCTTTCAGAATTCCTGTGCATTCAGTTATTATATATTGGCGACTTAAACGAGTTGAAGTGGTACCGAACGTTCAATTATACGCAATTGCATATTAGTCGTGCCTCGTATCCAAAATTAAACGTATACGTCATATCCCAGTCACTCTCCCTCTCTCGTTCCTCTATTCCTCTCACTTTCTAACTTTGTATTCAATATAGAATTATAAGGAAGACGTAATATATACGAAAAAAATATACCGATGCGCGCTTAAATAAAATCTATAAAAAATTAATTAAACGTTAAAACCGACGTTTTCCCTTTTTGAAATAAATCTCCCCCGTATTATCCCAACGCGATTTCTCCAACAAGGAAGATCTTGTTGAAAATAAAAGCCCGGTGTGCGCTTTAAAAACGTAAAAGGATAAAGGAAAGAAGTAATCGCGTTCGGTTCACATCGATTTTCCCCGTGCGTGACGCCTGTGTAAAAGAGGCATTTCCTCGAGGTAACGCTTTTACGCTACGCGACTTTCCACCCCGATCGATTTCTGTTACGGGTCTCTAACCATCAGCTGAGCTGCTTAGGGGGCGGATTATCAACCAGGAGGTAAGGTGCCTATAGCTACCTATTCGAGGGCATAACATTTATTACCGGGTCAGGGTTAACCGTTAGGCGCGCCACACACGTCCAGCGCTCTGCAGCGTCATTCTAAAAATAGTTTCGCGAGCACTCCCGATATAAAACGCGACCACGTGTCCCGTCCTCCGTACGCACATATGCATACACGTATGCATGCATACACGCTCTAGATTGGCTCGGGAAGATGATGAAAAATTTATAGCGAAACGTTCAACGCGTTCGTGGATCGCTTTAATAAATAATTAAATAGCTTTTGTATGAAAGCCATCGAAAGAGAGAGAGAGAGAGAGAGAGAGAGAGAATCGAACCGTGTTGAAATTGAAAAATGCGAAGAATGCGACTGTGCTTCGTTAATAAAGACAATTTACGATTAATCACGATTACTTATTTTACGTGATCCAATTCATTCGTTTGTTTAACTTTAATCCGAAATACACGAATACAGAAAAAAAAGATTTGCTGCAATAGTTAAATTAGTTGTAACATGTGGATACCTAAAGCTTTAGCAGTGTGAACAATTTTGATTGCTGCAATAGCAAGTTCTTCTGCTGCAGCAGCAAACGTACTATCTTAAAGATTATTTACGATAATACTGCAGCAATTAAAATTGCTTGCGCTTCTACAGTTTTGGACGTCCATATATTGCAACCCATTTAGCTACTGAAGGTAATCTTTTTTTTCCGTGAATACATCCCGGAATGCTGCGACTCCACTTGGACAACAAGGATCTACTTCCGATGATCATTAGGACACGTTTCGTTCCAAGTTGACATATCTCGATAATTCTATTTCCTATGATGACCGTAATGACCGTAGGAAGGTTTACAAGTACTGACTGATTATGTGGAAGAGCAGCAGCGTGCAGACATCTTCGCACATCCCGCAAAGTATCTGCATTGGCAACAAGGGCGAAGTACAATTACGGAGACATCGTATTCGCACGGAAATGTCATGTGTGCATTAGCAGAGGCGGATTTATGGATAACGGACAGATCGTACGAAATTCGCGAAAAGGTCCCGAATTCCAATAAGAGAAATAATGTAGGAGTGCGCGCACACGCGCGAGAATGACAGCGCGCGGGGTTATACGCGATGTAATTGCGCACACGAAAGAACTCGTCCGAATTTCCGCAGGATTGTAACGCGACTCATTATGCGGATACACCTGACCTGGATCTATGCTCGTAATAATGATCGTCACAATGAGAGTAGCCTACGTGCCACATGTCCCACTTGTGAACGAGGCGGCCCCGAATGTCAGCGGCGATGTCTTATAACGGACGGTGCAGCGGGCAGGAAATAATGATAGCGATGTTTAAAAGCCGCAGGAAGTTATATGTGTAGGAGGCACGAAATGTCTTGGCCAGGATATCGTGTAAATGTTACAGACGAAGTAATCGTTTGATCTGACCGTACGACGAGACCGGAGGAGGAATTGAACTGCGAGGGATCGGTCTGTAATTGCGCGGCTGCACACGCCCGTATCACGATCATGTGCGATCGATTGCCAAATTTCGTGCTTCTTCTCTTTGCCTGGATTAAATAAAGTTTCGCCCGCTTCGGAATTTCACATGTGCACTAGCGACGGGGAGTTTCTTGTGACACGGAAAAAGGCTGAAAAGCGCGGAAAAGTAGGAAACAGCGCGGATTTCGCGGCGGACTTTCGTGCGAAAATTCGAACGCGTGCGCTCTCGCGCGTACATCGACAAGTAGAACGAATAAAATTGGAACATACAGCGTGTCGCGAGTCTGTTGTTGGCCTGACTCGGCGGCGGTATCGCGGGCTGCGGAGGCGGTTGCGAGCTCAGGTCCTCGAAGTTTATGATTTGCAGGCAAATGTCGTCCACCTCGCTCCTTATTAGTGCTATCACCTCGCTGCAGAGGAACTTGGTTCCTGAAACAGGAAATTAGCAAGTCAGATACTCCTCGATCCCAAGCCGCGCCAAGCCTGACACACGCCCGTCGTCGTCGTCGGGCTCTCATCATAAATGTACATATACGGGCGTTCGAGCGAAGACCTGCTGCGTAAAGTTTAATTTGCTTGTAAAGTAATCCGCGTGCAACGCAAAGGTCCATTGCATTCGTCGATCTCGACAAACGGTGCCGCGGACATAGGCGAAAAGTTGCAAATGTATCACTAATGGTCTCATTTTGCTCCCTTTTTTAGTACAGGGGCTTACAAAAGTTTGGCCATTTTTGCCGACGAATTCGTTTTCAGTCATATTTTTAATTAAAAATATGGCTTTTAGCTCACTTGGCGTTAACCTTTTAATATCATTATTTTTTTTGGAGAATACAAGATTAAATTAGTATAGCTCAGAATTAATGTTTAATATAATAATCTTCGCAGAAGCAATTATTTTAATATTTAAAAAGAATGGTTATTCGCGTGCACTTGACTCCCTTTTTAGTGTATACTACTAAAAAAAAGTGCTACGTTAAAATAAATAATTATTTTTAATAATTCTAAGCAAATCTTCATTTGGCTCAAGTAAATTTTACTTGGATCAAATAAGTATATTACACTCGAATGTAAGCAAAAGGTGCTAAATTCAAATAATACTTATTTAATCCAAATAAAAAATTTGATCAGAACTACTGGAGTAATTATTTACTTGAATGTAACACCTTTTTTTTCTTCGTTATACACATACAGTCAATCACAGAATGGTTGCAAATTTTTTTCGATGAGTTTCGCAACACATTTCATGTCTAATAGAAAAATATATCTCCTGAGAATGATTAAAAAACGAATTTTCTTATTGGACGCGGGATGCGTTCCAAAGTTTATTGAGAAAAAGTGTCTGAGCAACCGTCCTGTGATTGACTATACATATATTTACATGTACAGAGATACATTTTAAATGTAGGGGAGGCCTGGGCTAGTTGACTGAAGAGATAAGTTGGTTAATTGATTATTCCTATTATTTCCTAACAGATTACAGAATAGAGCAAGCAAAAATTTCAAACATGTCAAAGATAGTTATGAAATCTTGCTCGATTCTACACTCTGTTAAAAAAACAAAAAAAATAATCAATCAGCCAACATACTTCTTTAGCCAACTAGCCCTGGTTTCCTCTAACGAAATTGTATGATATTGAAGGATTGTATAAAACATTCACATGGTGCAGCCAAAAACCTTAAAATCGACAGAAATAATAAATTAAAAATTAAAATCGGAATAATAATGAAATTAATAAAGTTAGTAATTGAAATAGCAAATACAATGAACATGTAAGTGCGAATTAGAGCAAAGGAACGTATGAAATGATTCATTGATATGTTAAAAAAGTCACGGCTTTTAGCTGTATTTTGACAAAAGGTCTGTGAAAGTGTGTGCGTGTATGTGTAATAAGAAAACAATATACATGTCACGTTCCATTAAAATATCTGCCATCATTATTCACCATTTTTTGTCACCTTTCAAACATCCGGTTCCGTAAAATAATTCATCTTTCAAATTAATAAACCCGTATGCGATTCGACCAATTTTTACAAACCTTTAAACGAGCGCAACGATATATCATTCGACGCTCTTGAAAAGTAGCATCTTAACAGATGAACTCCCGGCGAGTAAAAACTAATATACGAATGTATCTAAAGCGTACTCTTATCGAAGAGTAAATTGGTATCTTGTAAAGTACGTGCAGCACCTGGAGCGACTTCCGCTTGCACCCGATAACTCAAGTTCCTGACGGCGCTCGGGGGATCATCCGCGGACGTCGATAGTGCACTCAGATGCGTGTCAAGGGCTGCAAGGATAGTACGGAGCCGGCGATAGTAAAATTTGGAAATATTGAGTCGTGAATCAAGAGCATAAAGTATCCGGGGAAATATATGCCGTGGCACGTACAAAGCACCGTGACCCATCCACGCGCATGAAAATCGCCGAGACGGCTCGCGCGGCGGCTATCCGCCGCGATAAATATTCCAGATTGACATTTACTAGATGTCTCTTAGACACCGCGAGCCACTGTCGCCGCCACCGGTGCCGCCATGTCGTAGACGATATTTCACTTGCAGATAGACGCGCGGTAGATAAAAGAGAGCCGATAGTAAAATTGCGAAACTTCCTATAAAGTCTCTGGATCGCGCCCAAATAGTTTGTCCCGTCGTGGTAATATCGTCGTAAAGTTCAGATTGTTACTAGAGTGACATAAAGACGTTAAGTTGGCGGGCCGATAGGCGGCCCGTTCGTTGCAATCTTGTTGCATTAAATGTCGCTCCGACGCGAGTGTAACGCCGAGTTTATCGCGGCTTACGTACTCGCGAACGCGTTCTCGAATGGTGTCATAAAAAAAATTCACACGTTTTATCATCGACCCCATCCGCGAGGAGTGCGAGCGCGCGATACCGGGCGTCAACCGCCGGGTTGCCTCTGTCGCGAAATTAAATGAAAAAATTACCGTCAAGGATGAAATTTAATCCGGCCCATCTATCTTTTCCCGTCAGCGTTTCCGCGAACAGCAGATTCGTGAAATCCGCTAATTGCGAGAATCATCGCGCTCACGGCAGTTGCGAAGAAGAATTCAACGGATAAGTTCCCGCATAGAGAATTTTCTAATATCTGGTTGGAATCTATTCTGATCTTCCAAAAAATGATAGATTCCGATTGGGAAATCTATGAAGATTCGGATTAGAGGCATAATGTTTCAAAAGTGCTATTCTAACTAAGGAAACCCAGACAGATTCCATTTTTTCCGTTCAACGTTCGCCTAAAGTACAATTCTAGATGGGAAACCCAGACAAATTATTTTTTCTCTGTCCAACATTTATCCAAAAGTTTCTTTTTTTAGATTTCTATTTTATATTTATATTGAGTAAAATATTTGAAAAGCTTCAGGTAAAAAAAAATGAGAGCTATCTAATTTTCTATATAGAAAATATTGTGGAATCTAATTGAAATCTATTCCAATTAACTAACTAAATAAAGTTGCGATTCCAAGTAGAGAATCCATTTGCTATATCCAACATTTTCCTAAAGTTTTCTTAAATAATTATATAAAAATGGTATAAAATTCTTAATTAGTATCACTATTTTTTATACTTATTTGGGATAAATTTGGATGATCGGATCAAGATTTATATTATATTTGAGAGTGTTTGGGAAATTTCTATACGGATTATCAGAAAAGCGTCAGTTTCCGCGGTGGGCGCAGTTTTAATCTCGTAAAATCGGTCGATTTCCCCCGCCCGAAGGGGAAATAATTTCGCACGCGAGGCGTTAATGAGACTCGCAGCTTAAGCGTGTCTTACGGACTAATTAGCGGCGATGTTCGCTCCGACGTGGCACCTTGGACGAGATTCAAAAGGCATCAGCGGAAGGAAAGTGTGTCCCGTGCGAAAATATGCCCGCATCCGAAACCGTGCCAAGATTGCCACCTGGATATTCCATGGTGGACGTCATCCCCGCGCAACGTCAACATCTTTGATAAGATCCACATGTCCTATCGGATTACACAGTCGTCATTTAACTTTGACTTGGTGTGGTACCACAATAGAACGCTTGTTTTTCGTCGTGATCAAACGGTCATACTTCACGCCGATCGATGTCACGGTCAAGGATGGTGCCACATTTTCCATGTTTTCCTCCTAAATATAGATGCACCTCACACACACACACACACACATATATGTATGCAGACACTCAGCGGAGCGATTGCACATACACTATCTTCCACGTGGCGCGCAGAAAAAATGGGGCGTTTAGCGTCTCCGCCGTTTAACCTCGTAAAATTATGATAATTGAAAATTATCTTAATGCACTTTCAGTGGAACGCAATTATTTCCTCTGCATAAGTAAGGGCGCATTTTTCCCAGGTGCGCTTCTATAGTTTTAGTAATCCGATTTGGACGTCTCGGTAACTAAATTAAATAAGACATTCCAGACAACCGCTCCGATTTCCCGGAAAGCCCCAGCCGTTAATTTTCCAGCTGACACCACGCATATTGTTAACGCTTAAAGCGGCCGATACGTGTAGTTTCTTCAGTAACGTCACGACAAGCTGCTGCCCTATCGATCCGCCGGTGTTCTTTCTCCCTCTCGCGGTTTCTCTTTGTCTTTCTGTACATGTGTGTGTCTGCATGTGGGATCACGCATAGAGCTGACTTTTGAGGTCCTCTTTAAATACGAGCGAAATCGTCGCACTCTCGACGGCACACGCGTGCGAACTCCTAAACGCGTTCGCCAAGCGAGAGGGAATGATCATGTGTCCGTAGAATTTCTAGGGGTAACAATTCGACGTTGTAATCTTCCGTGATGATTATTTCTCGACTTCAAAAGCGTTTTCCATTTTTTCCGATAACTGTTGGCGGGCTTCTACACTTTGTGTAAAAAAGGATCGCAAATAAAAGCCAGAAGTTCACTCAATTAAGAGGGGCTTCGACCGCCAATCAACAGGGGATTTTCGTTGTCTGGTTTTAATTGGTTTTAACATCGTTACCGCATGTTTGTCAACACAGGAAGATAACAAAGGCGTACAGTTTATGTCGATGTTACGTGGATGAGTTCTTGTTTGTTCTGCAAGCAATGTCAAGAAATGACTTAATCTCAGCCGGCCCGGGCGCACATGGATTGATTTATACTCTCGCGAATAAAAGGTATTTTGGTATTATATCGTCCTTATTAAAAGTAAATTTCAGGCCGAGGTGTGAGTATAATTTTGAGCTTCGATCAAAATATTCCAGCTATTTTGCGTCGGAGAGTTTTTGCTTGAAAAATTGTTCCGGCGGGCATAATTCTGCCTTCGCTCCGATTAGAAAGATATGCGGCCGGGATAAAGATTGATGTGCCGGAAAGTGCGAGATTTTTTGGCGCTGTGGTGCCATTGAAAAGGTTAAATGATATTGCCGGGAACAGCATTTCCCACTTCGGAGTAGCAGATAAGGCGAAG